GGATGACTTGGTCAAAACATCATATTCACTCAATTGTTGGAAATTTCGCTGTGGCCAGGGCTCGCCTTTCGTGGATTCATCGCCATTGTCTACCCTGTCTAGTCCGGCAAGGCCGAATATTGGCGCTGCTAATGTTGGTCTTGGAGCATAACCAGCTGATGGAAGTAGCGAGAATGGGCAGAGTTTCCGGGTGCTGTGAAGCTCGATGCTCGAGCACTCCCCTGCAACTCCTCCAGCCGTGAAGTTGGAGCAAATGGAATGATGGGAAGGCAGACTTCACTTCTAGTGTTGGCATAGCAGTCTGCCGCAGACGGCGGCGGCTAGATGGTGAGACCGTGACGAGCCTCGAGTATAATGCATATCTATATAGGTCAACTTACCTGGGATAAACGATCCCGTATGACCCCTGGCCAAGATGCCATTGTCAAAGAGCTTCACAGTACCTCCGGGTCATATTTTGCAGATCAAACATTCGAATATTGGTAAGCAGTTGAACGCCTGGACAGCCCTGGAAGAAAGAATGCTATTGACAGACCGGATAATTTGTAAAGAGAAGGAAATAGGGAGCTTTGTCCTCGGAGTCATGCCATAACTGAGGATTTCAAGAGTTGTCAAAGGCGCAGTTCCTGGCGCTTTGATGCCCAAGTTGGAATCTCCAATGGCCGCTCCGTAATCTTCCTGCATCGTATTAGCGCCCGCGCTTCACTGTTCGGTTGGTTGCCCTGAGCGCAATGGTAAATCGTGAGCCAAAGCATTCAAGGTATACCGGGCACCAATAAACTATCCCCCTCATTTATCTTGGATGTGATTGGGATCCTTCAACGGGTCCGCGACCATGTGGTGATTGCCAAAGCCTCTTTCCGCGAGTGAGCGCTCGCCAACAAACCAACTCGATTCATGCCATACGCGCCATGCATATACTACATATGTATGTCTATTGAGAGACTGTTGATCTGAACGGTCCGAGCCGCATGGTATGGGTAGTTAAAGAGTTACAGACGAGAGATATAGAAACCCCAAGGCTTATATTTCATCTTCCCGATCTTCCTCGAGTTTTAATTTCTTGTTCAGATATGTAAAAGTCATGGCTTCCGACTGGCTTCTTCATCCTGGGACCAGCAGATGGGTTCGGTCCATCTACAACCATTCTGGTAGGCATCACTGGCTACCTGCAGAATGAGTGTAGTAACTGACTAAAACGAAAGGGGAGTTTCTTTACGAATGGGACTACCCAGGTGGCGCGTTAACTCCTACGGCAGCGGGTCAAGGTTCAAGGTTAGTTGCCCATTCTTCATGCGTGAGAAGTCCGGGGAAGTAATCCGTTTGACAGAAGCGTCGTGCCGCGCCAACGCAGCACCTCCGGGTCCGCGTTCCCCAAGCCCGAAGACGCATACAGACATCAGGCCCCATTTTCCCCAGGGCTAGACCGCCATGCAAGTCCCCTAGAACATGCACAGCGGCAGGACCCGCTCGAATACGGCCAAACGTATACCAATGATCGAATTGATTTCAATGACGGGTCTCCACTCGCCGGATACCAGCAGCTCACCAATCATCGTGTGGATGATGGCGTATACCCAGGTGGAGGAACAGTAACAAATGACAAGGCAAGCAGTCCGCCTGAATGGAGCCCGGGAATGCGGTACGAGGTAGCCAGAGGTACAACCGGTCGCAGAACGGGGCGTGCAAGTATATCCGACCGTAGCGAAGCCACCAGCTCATCAACAAGTGATATGTCCATTCCGCGAGTCCACGTTGACGATCTACAAGGATTGAGTCTCGGGGATCATCCAGCCTCGCATATGGTGCTGCCCTATGGGGCCAGCAGTCACAGTCACCGCAAGGACCCCATTATGGGGGATGTCCAACGAAAGTATGACAGGGAGGTGGTGAGTGATAATATTTTTCCTTCCTCTTTGACTTATTGGCTGATTTTGACATATAGCAAAAGTCATTGGAACCAGCATACGTGATCCCCGGCAGTAACGGCGAACGTGAGACGCTGGATCCTCGTAAGCAATGGCCTGGGCAGGCTTCATGCATACCCGAAAAGATAAACTGACGATGATTCGCATTGTCCAGGCTACAAGAGGCAGAGCGATCCTCGGAGGTTTTTCCGAGTTGGCAGGGTCAGTTCCCCTGTCAAATAACTGCACGCTAAGGCCCTAGCTGATTGATTGCGACCATATAGGTCTTTTCGATGCTCTGGCATGAGAATGCAGGCTGGCATGGAACTGTACACAGCGAGAAAGTTTCTCCCCCATCGTCAAGCCCTTTCACCAGAGGCAAGTATCAAGAGCCCATATACAGTAGCATCCGGCGCATGGTAGTGGTCAAAGAGCAGAGGGGCTGTTGCTGGTGTGTGTACGTGTGAACATTCCCATCCAAGGTCAATTGCATTGTAACATACTAATCCATCATTTCAGACCCATCACTACCTATAGTGGGAAGGGCGTGGCCAAAGCCGGAATCGACCGTAGCAAACATGCGGTCATTCATATGCGAGGTGATAGACCTCGAACTGTGGAGTCCGAACCCCGGATGGCCAAAGATCCCCTGGAGGTTGATCCTGCCAGGCCTGATCAGAAGCTGGATTGCATGTCCCGAGTGAACTTTGGCAAGGTTTATACCGTCGAGCACAATGTCAAGGTTCTGCCCGTGGGCAAGATCACGGAAGAATCTAGGGCGAGATTCCTAGAATACGCTCAGGGTGAGTTTGTCAGATAGGAATGAAGCGCGCGAGGCACCGTGGAGGTGATTCACATGAGAGATGCTTCCGTGTCGGTCTACATGGCCTGTGTTGGGAAGTGCGTTGAGAATTCAATGTCCAGACCTAATTCCGGTTTTGTTGTTATTATTACTGTTTCTGTTCTTTTTTTGTTGTATTAAGCAAGGCGGCACGTGAGGGCATTTAACATCTGCGGGTATTTGATGAAATGAATAGCGATTGTTTTTATGAACGCTTATTCTTCGGGTTTCGTGACATTCGTATCCGAAGGACTTCGTTCGCAATGAGAACCATGAGGAACATCGTGTAACTATGTCTCTGTGAGTGGGGATGCCAGCGGTTTATAACAACCGGAAAAGGAAGATCATGATCATACAAGGGGCGCACTCTGCTGTAGCAGGTCTCAAAACGAGTGAAGAGTTCATGGGACTCGCCGCGAGGTATAGGCTGGTTTTCATCTATCAGACCCGACACTTCATGGTGCAAGTCAAGATCATCTCTTCTTGAGCCCTAATCCCAACTTGCATCAAGTATGAGTGATATACAGGATGGCCCGTGGACACTGTCCTGCGCTGTATGCCTTCGTTGGTGGACGGCGGTTCGCCAAGACTTTGGAAATTGAGAGATATTCTAGCATATCTTGGGATATGTCTTCTGCGGCTGCCCTTTAGGCTCATCAGTTAATACAATTTCGTCCATTGATGGTAATTCACGAAAAATCTGATTAGACCTGGATCTATATCAACCTTGGAACTACCGAGATATATATTTTCGGCTGGGGGTATGTCGCTAAAAATAAATCGGCTGTCTATGAATATCCACAAGGGACATTGTAGAGCAGATATAGACAGGACTATTACGTGGCAGTTAGACTAGCGAAATCTCGAAACTCACAGACTATCCTCGATCATTTGTAGTTGTTTCATGGAGTTTCCGCCTGAGGAGTAAAGATTATGTCAACATAAAATCTTCCAATTCACCGCCTGCAACACTCTCACCGCCCGACAAGATTTCCCAAAAAAGTTTCAACTTCCGCAGATTCGATCAAGCAAATGCCTAACACAATCACAATGAAACGCAAGTTGGACGCAAACGATGTCCCGTCCCCTGAGGCTGGTGGAGCTGAGGACCAAGAACTGGACTTTGAAGCCCTCAATCTCGATCCCCGATTGCGCCAGGCTCTGATCAAGGAAAAGTTCACCAAACCCACTCTTGTACAGTCGAAGGCGATTCCGCTTGCTCTGGAAGGAAAGGATATTCTTGGTGAGACGAGCAGCTTTAATCGATGAACCAAAAGACAAATGCTGACAGAAATAGCCCGCGCGAAAACCGGCTCTGGCAAAACCGCCGCTTATGTCCTCCCAATTCTGCAAGCCATCCTCCAGCAGAAGACTGTTCGTTCCCTCTTTTCACCTCTCCATGTGTACTTTATATGGAAAGTATGCTAACCGTGTACGGACAGGCCGACCCCTCCTCAAAAGCCACAACCGCTCTTATCCTTGTCCCCACTCGCGAGCTTGCAGAACAGGTCCAGAAAGTGATTACGTCTTTTGCCAGTTTCTGCGGAAAGGATATTCGGTCAGTCAACTTAACACAGAAGGTGTCTGATGAAGTTCAGCGCTCGATGCTGGCCGATTTCCCGGATATTGTTGTGTCGACGCCTACCCGAGTTTACAGCAATGTTAACAACTCCGCTTTGTCGCTCGATAAGGTCACCCATTTGGTTATCGATGAGGCTGATCTAGTCTTGTCATACGGATACGACGAGGAAATCAATGCTCTCTCCAAGGCCATCCCGCGAGGAGCGCAGACATTCTTGATGAGCGCTACTCTCACTTCCGAGGTGGATACATTGAAGGACTTGTACTGCCGGAACCCTGTGATTCTTAAGCTAGAGGAGAAGGAAGAGAAGGGTGCTGGTGTCAGCCAGTTTGTTGTCCGGTAAGACAATATGCTACAACCGGTATTTTATCAGTTGCTAACTCAATTTCCAACAGATGCGCGGAAGATGAGAAATTCCTTCTCACATACGTTATCTTCAAACTGCAGCTGATTAAGGGCAAGGTTATCATTTTCGTAGCAGATGTGGACCGATGCTACCGCGTGAAGCTCTTCCTCGAACAGTTCGGTCTCAAGAGCTGTGTCCTCAACTCAGAACTTCCCATCAATTCGCGCATCCACGTTGTCGAAGAATTTAATAAGGGCGTCTACGATATCATTGTCGCAGCCGACGAGCAAGAAGTATTGGGAGTGACCCAATCGAAGAAGTCGCGCGAAGACAAGGAGGCAGACGAAGAGGAAGCAAAGGAAGAGATGGGAAGCAGCGAGGATGAGGAGGCAGTTGATGAAAGCGGAAAGGGAAAGAAGCCGGAAACCAAGAAGCGCCGCAAGATGACCAGCAAAGAGAAGGACTACAGCATTGCTCGCGGTATCGATTTCCAAAATGTCGCCTGCGTCCTCAACTTCGACCTCCCCACCAGCTCCAAATCCTACACCCACCGCATCGGACGTACCGGCCGCGCTGGCCGAGCAGGAATGGCCCTGTCCTTTGTTATCCCCACCGACCAACACGGCAAGCACAGACCCACCTCAATCCCCAGCACAAAGCATGACGAGATCATGCTTGCCAAGATCATTAAGCGGCAAACCAAGCTCGGCCACGAGGTCAAGCCCTACCACTTCGAGATGACGCAAGTCGACGCCTTCCGGTACCGTATGACAGATGCCCTGCGCTCCGTGACCAGACTTGCAGTGCAAGAAGCACGAGGACGCGAGATCCGCCAGGAACTGATCAAGAGCGAAAAGCTCAAACGCCATTTCGAGGAAAACCCCGAAGAATTGCGGCAGCTGCGCCACGACGGCGAACTGCGCGCCGCGCGCGTCCAGGCGCATCTCAAGCATGTGCCTGATTACCTGATGCCTGCTAAGGGACGCAAGGGTCTCTCGAAGGAGAGTGTTGGGTTTGTCGGGTTCTCGAAGTCCAAGCAGAATCGGATCCGCAAGGCGAGAGATCGCAACCGTGCCCGCGGCAAGTCTGGTGGGAAGATTGATCCCTTGAAGACATTTAATCGTTCCAAAAAATAGTTGCATAGTTTAAAAATATGCGGGCGTTTTGTTCCGGATACCATTGTATAGTCAGACATGAATAGAATAGTTTCAATTTGCGTTTCTGCTCACACGCGTAGGACGTTTTATTTTTCGGTTCAGTGATGTACATTTTACATATAGGTCATTGTGCACATCGCAGACTCATAAATAAACCGACAATTCCTGCCCATCCTGCGATCTGATTATCTCAGGTTCAACGTCTTCCAGCCCTAACCCGAGCTCGATTTCGAGCCATTTCTTCCCTTTCCTTATCTGGCGGATGTGCCTCATCACATCACGCGCATTTTGAAGGTGATACGCATGCAAAGAATCCCAAGAATACGTTTGCGGGGTGGGGACTTCATGGGACGGCACATGAGACGAGCCGTCAGACTTCGACATATCTCGAAAACCAGCGCCGATCCCAAGCCACTCGACATCTCTCCAAGATCTGTTCCACTCTGGGCCAACAGAATCAGGGCTCTGTGGAAACCCATCCGGGTCTTTCCCAACCCATTTCAAGGCTGGTAGCCATTCACCGCAGCCCTCGAGGTCCAACCATTTCAGGCAGTAGGTCGAGCGGGAGAGCTGACGAAGGATACTCGCAACTTCCGCCCAATTGTTGTCAAGAGCGTCTGGGGTCAAATAGCGGGCCACCGGGCCGCGAATGCGAGTGGTGGCAGTGCGTGGATTCCGGCACGGTATAGGCCAATGGGCGAGCGAGAGATGAGTCAGGGTTGGCAAATGCGCTAGTAGGTTGAGAAGACCGGTCCAGCTTGCAGCACTAGGTTTCGGGTGTGCTAGAGATAAGGCGCGGAGTTCGGGGAAGCGTAGGGTCTGGGTAATGGCCTTGGGCACGGACATAGCTGAAAAGTGATCAAGCATAGCTTCCCCAATGCCGTTGTAAACATCTTCATCCCATGAAGCTGGGACAGCCTCCTCTATTTCGTGACATGAGACACCCACGGCTGGAACTGCCGACATGATCATCTCACTTGTGAGCTGCTTCAAAGTTATCCAATTTCCCAGAGCATTTCCCAGATCTAACCGCACGACTTTCAAATCCCCATCAACAGCTCTCGACTCGTTAAAACCCGGGATCTCCTTGGCAATTTGATCCTGATCCTGCGGGGTCAGAAAGAGCGGTTTCAGCCCTTTCATGTACCCTCTTAGAGGCGTGCCTCTTGCGTAGACAGCAACATAACTGAGCAGCAGTTCCTTGATATGATTTGGAAGATGGGAGAGAAAAGGCCCGTCATATTCAACATGCCAATACCAGTTCAACGCCATGGATTTCAACAATAGATGTACGAGACTTCTTTGATCCGGAAACAGCGGCCCCTGAAGGCGGGTCAGCCGGTGGATTTCCTCTTCTGACGCCGCCGGGATCCGGGCAGGCAATCCCGGGAACCCCGCCGAATCCGTATTTTGGGAGAGCCAACTCGCAGGCGGCGGAGGCCCGACAGTTGGTCGAGATGGACGAACCCCGAATACCGTGTGACGGGGACCGGGGCGAGGTCGCGGTGGTGCAGTTTCAGGGAGCTCAAGTACATCTCGAAGAGACGGATGAACTGAGCGCTGAGCCACAGACGAGCGTTGAGTACGTTGAGGGCTTGAGGGTTCATCCGAGGAAGCACTTGGGATCTGTGTACGGCGGAGGTGGCTAATTAAGTCGTTGACTGACGTCGCTGACGCGGAGCTCTGTACCCCAGACCCGCCATCATGCCGAGACCCAGATGATGCGAGGCTGTGATGTGCTAAGTTGGCTGGCTTTACGTGAAACCGCTGGTGCTTTTTTGGCATCTGCGGTCGAGCTGCAGTTTTGACGAAGTGAAGTCCATGGTGCCTCCGGGAAGCTTTCCCGCCTTTATTCCAAGGTTATCGCCCCCACATTTGATCTCATTGCCTGATGGAGTATAGCGCAGGAGGCTGACATTTAGGGCTTTAAAAGAGAAATAACAATAAAACGACTGGTCGTGCAGCAATGCTCGTGACTCACTGTGGCTTGTGACTCATTGTTACTCATAATCAAATCTATACAATGTTATACAGTCTATGCACGGGCTCAGATATCGCGAACCCAGGAATCATCCTTCATATGGCCCTCACGCTTGGGACCCTCCTCTAGCCAGGTATCCACCAAGCCCTCCTTCGGGTCCTCATCGGGCAATCCGCGCGATCGGCGAACGTCCAATACAAGGTTCCTGATCTTCAAAGTGACCTCTTTGCGCAGCTCGACAGCTTCTTTATCATTCAACAGCTCATCACTTAGTACCCCAAGTGGCAGATCTCGGGAATCCGGGTGGCTCTTTTCGACCTTCGCTTTCAACTTCTGCCACCGAGATCTCATTTCCCCAAATACAACATCCGAGTCCACCTTGGGACCGAAAGTCACGCTAACACGTTTGCCAGGCCGAGGGAGGGATCGTGGGAATTCCCGGCTCTCATGCATGACATTGTCGAAGCCTTCGATCCACATCGGAACTATATCCGGGCACTCTTTGGGCTCTAAGATAAGCCGTGCGATTCCCCACTTGAAATAGCGCATGGTCTTTCGCGGTGCCTGGTGAATCTTGCCTTCGGGGAAAATATGGACCCAAGAATTCGAGTTGCAGGAGTATGCGGTAGGCGCCAGGTGCGAGTCCTTGCCATCGGTTGTGTAGGCGACTGAGAGTTCCGAGAAAGGATCGACGCAGATATTGTGCCAGCTCCAGCGCTGACGTTCAGGTATAGCGCGGTGATGGTCAACGGGGAAAGGACCCTTCGATAATAAACGAATAGCCTCGGTGATAGCAGGTTGAGCTAGGCCACCGAATGCCGAATGTGCCGAACGGTGAGTGGGCAGCACCTGTCCCATAGTGAAGAAGAGTGATAGTGGTCTGTGATTATCTCCAGTCAGTAAAACAATCCATGGAAGAATTGGCGCAATCTCGTAAATACCTCGTCTGATAACAAATGTCGTAGCTTCCAAAGGACCACCGCTTATTCCAAAATCGCGCAGGCAAAATCCCCCATAGTAATGGGTCATCCATTCTGGTATTCCGGCGCAATGTCAGCCATTTTCATATTGGAGTATGGATTGCCTCGATCCGAGGCTGTTGCAAGCACGTACACGCTGATGTGATTGGATACTATTCTCAGATAAATCAATTAGCAACTGCACTCGTCTAATGTACTTCGCTGTGTCCCGACATACCGGTAATTAACCCTCGTGTCCGTTGCGAAACGTCATGACGGGAGTCTAACAGCTCCGTGAACGCTTCTTTCCCGTGACATTCTGCATGACAAAAAACGGAAAGAAAACCGCGGCATAGACCGGCCACTCCCCACATTGTTGTGTTGGATAAAGCCCTCCAAGGGAGGGACGGGGCCTCTGCCGTTGCGCTCGAGTCCATGATGGATGGTGTAAAACTGCTATACACAATCCATGAACAAGATGAAGCTTTTCGCAAGCTAATAGTAGCTTGAAAAGGGGTATGATCTCCGAGGAGCAGATGTAATTGACTGGTGTGTAGTTCAAAAAAAGTGTCGAGTCCCTGGAAATCGACAGATTCTCGGGAATCACATGATTTTGGTTGGGGTAACCATTCACAGTAGATCACCAGAGGCCAGCATTACCATTTTACAATAATATGACTAGTTGTAATTTAGGCCGAATAATTAAGCCCACTGTCTAAGTCATAATAATTTGCAGTCTCCCTACATCAATTGTATCAAGTAGTAAATTCGGCCATTCCACCAGTAACTTTTGTATACATCCAGTGCACGGACCAATTACACTCCCGACTCCGAGCACGATTTTCTCCCACACCCTGACAGCACCACCAACCAACAATGTTCAAATCAACGCAAGCGCTATTTGGCGGTCTTCTCTGGTGCGTCTCCGGCCCTTCGACCAAAGTTTCAATTATTCGAATCCAAGCTAACATTCCTTCCCGAATATCAGGAAGACCCCATGGCGTCTCTCCTCCCCCCAGAAGGCACGACAGCGCAAGCGCCTGCGCTCTGTAGACCGTGTCGTCGATACTGTCAGCGCCGCACTCGAGCGCAATGGCCAGACATCCAAGGCTGTGAGCCGGTGGTTTGCGGAGATGCCGCGCGAGGAGGAGATGCTTCCCAAGGACAAGTACACTCTCTTCGATAAGAAGGAGAAGAGCTACCGGAAGAGCATTCACAGTATGTTCTCGTCCCGCCTCTACTTCCAATGTCAACACCCGTGGTATTCTTACTGTGTGGATGGGCTGAGCTAACCGCTGTTTTTACCTTCAGAGCTGCCCAAGTGGACTCGTGTCAGCCAACGTGTCAACCCTCCCGGTTTCTAAACGGAGTTTTCTCCCCCGCACATGTACTATACGTCCAAAACTCGATTCTGGCGGGGGACTTGTCGGAGCGAAAAACAACATATGGACAACCGGAGTTTTGGCTTTTTGGAATTTGCAGCGCGGCCACTCTGCAAAAGATGGTGGCTTACAATGTTCCATGATTACCCCAGCGCTTAGATTAGGACTTCAAATTAAATGCATTTGGCAAGGATATTTATTTGTGTTCGGTTCCGAGGTTCCCGGGGTATACTAATGATATAGACGCAGCGACAGACATGGTGCTAGTGAGTGTATGGGAGAAGTGATGGATATCTTGAGTGCGTTTGAAATGAGTGTGGAGTCGAAACCAATCGGTGGTTACGGGTAGGGCAGGACAAAATGGACACAGGAGACTGGTGTGAAAAGTGATTGGTTCGAGGAGGTTCATGAGACAAGGAAGTTTGGAGCTCTTGTTTTCCCAAGATCATGGCTTGGGATCAATTTTCCGGACGCAGTACGACAGCACTTGTTGACTTGAGCTGCGATTTCCTTGGCCCTGTTCCGATTGACTCGGCCTTCGTGGGTGGCTTTGTGGACTCGATATCCCCGGTGGACTTGCTGCCAATCATCAAGCTTCTCTTGCCAGCCTGCCCCTCCTTCATACCAAGCGTTCTTCTGCGCAGTGGACATCTCAAAGCCCTGAGGCGGTTTCGGCAAAACCCAGCAGCCTGGATCGATATGACCATCTGGCGGCTCCTCGGCCGATTCATCATACAGTGTAATAGTGCGAATGGCGTCTCGTACGCCAGATACCTTCCGCTGCTTGTTCACTGCGGCCCGCCATGAGTCGATACGAGGAGTCTGCGCGCGTTTCCGTTTGGACGTTGGGTACTTTGGTCTGGGGCTGTAAACCGGCCGAGGATAAGGGACGTTGTATCGTGGGTCTCCCCATATCCGACGTGCATCGGTGGGAACTCTGGATACGGGATCGTAAACATACCATGTTTCTCTATTCAGCCAGTGATTGGCTAGCAAGGCAAAATGGTAAGGTTTTTTCCCGGGAGTGAATTCATTAAAGAGCCATAACAGTTTTCGATCCAGCCTCTCCATCATCCTGATCTCCCAATCACTCAACTCATCGACGGCGCTTCCTGTTTTGAGATGTATTTGATCTGTAGAGCATCGAGTGACATCTATTTCCGGGCTTTTCCCTTGACGACGGGAGGGGGCAGGATGTCTTGGGTCACACATAAAGCGCCATTCACCACACAATGCTGGTCTCCCTTTCGGATTAGTCCCTTTTCCTCGGAAATGACTTCTTGCTGGGGCCGAATTCCATTGGATGGTTTTGGTATATGTCCGCCGTTCATTCGAGAACAAAACTTGATCTCCAATGAGGAGTCTGGAAGTGAACGATGTTCTATCTTCCGATATACGCAGGCGCCCTTCGGTGCTATTTCGCTGCTTCTTGGGGTGACCGCGAAGAGAAGAGCTGCGATCCGAAGCGTAGCTGACCAGCAATTCTGTCCTTGGCGTCCCGGGAGGCCCAGATGAATCCCCTATATTGTCAAAGACTGGCTCTTTTGGCCCCATCTGCATACGTGCTGACCATCCACGGTATCTCCGGGGATCACGATATCGATGAAGTGGTTTAGGCTCTTTTGCCTGCGTTGGGGCACTTGGCTCCGCTAGCCCATATTCGAAATCCTTATGTTGCACGACAGATTGGATTTGACATGAGATATCTTGGGATCGCTCACCATGCGGCCATGGAATCGATCCCCGGATCTGGTAGGATTGATTCTGTCGAGATGGTAATGATTTGACCTGGAGGAACGGCATCGGTGCGCGGGTAGCTGACCTTGCTGCATTATTGCAAGAATTGAACCAGGGCTGGTGATCAGAACTGCCATCTTTGAGCTGCAGTGGGTCCCTGAGAATTTCCTCTAGAATTGAACGAGTAATAACTGGTTGATTGTGGATCAACGTGGGTTGCGGTAGCCGGATTCGTCCCAATATGTCCTCTTGCGCTTGCGGCTGCCGCACAGAGCCCGGCGCTGGAACAGGTTGGGGCATTGAGACACTGTCATTTAAAGCTCCATGACACTTGGGGCGAGAACAAGGATTCCAGATTTCATCGGCAGTGGGAAAATCATCATAGCTCTTGAGCCAATCTGGTAGCCAACGAAATCCTCTCAGGTCTTGACGGTGCTTTTGCCTTTTCACGTCGCCAGGATCCCACCAAATCCAACTATAGTCGTCTCGAGTCGATTTCCACGTCACTGAGTTCCAAATTCGAACGAAGAAGCCATAAATTACCCTTTTATTTCTCTCATGTGTCGGCCGCTTGACCCAGCCATACCATGTGCGTGCGTATCGGGTGTCCGTATTTTTGCCTGCTCTCAGCACCTTCTTTCTATTGAATCGTCTGATGAATCCCCCAAGCTTCCAAAATAAGACTGCCATTATGAATATTCCAACAGTTCCGATGAATAGCTCAAAGAATACCATCGGGTCAATCTCCTTATGGACTTTGACTGGTGTGTTTGGAGGTCGTGCTGGGAGACGTGGGATACCAGGAACCAAGGAGTGGCTCTGTCGAATGACCAGTGGCGCCATTAAGTGGAAGCCTGGGTATAGTCTCGTGGAATCAGTAAGGATATAGAACACGAAATGTTGTCAAGACTGTGGACTCGCAATGTGAAATGGGAAATGCTATGCTGGAGAGATGAGGAAGCAGCAAGTCACGCACGGAACTTTCCTACCATATCTTACTTCAGTCTCTTCTGTATATATTCATCCCAACCATATTCTTCAGAATGTTTATTTCTGTAACGAGAACATAATAGCAAATACTAGAGACAGTCGCAAAATGTTGTACATGCTTGAGATTCCGCGCCTCTATACCGAGCTGTTTGCCCAAGTCATAGCTCCTCAAGAACGAGCAAGAGCGTCGGTATTTACTATTGAACGTAAAAGACGCTGTCCAGGCTAGGCTCTTGGATTCAAATTGAACGTTCCAGTCACATCGGACGCGCGGATTGAATCACGTTGGGTATATTACAATCTCCTCCCCAATAATTCCTGCCGTTTAATGTATTTTCGGGCAGCGGGTCACTCTGATACTCTCATGTCCTTGGTGGCTAAGGTCAAAGTATTCGAGAATGTTTATGCGGGCGAAGGATATTTCGGTGTTGACATGGGATACAATTTACATATGTAGTGGTTGCTCTCTACTAGTGATTGCTCTCTACTGAAGACTCTCCTCGATTAATTGTGGGGACTGGTGTTCGAATAACGATGTTTCATCAGTCAGGACTTCTACTATGTCACCACATGTAATCCTTTATTTTTGGCCTGCATCTTCCTACTTCTTCCGGTCCCGCTGGTGACTACGTGTATAGATAGCAATCCATGCATGGATGGATACATACATGTACATACCTACTGGTTGTCTGGGTACATACAACATAGTAGTTTGACTCACATTTATGCATAATTCCAGAAGTTGGCCAGGCGGAGTAGACGCTCATTTCTTTACCGTCTTGTCTAACTTCGATGCGACTTTAGGCAGATACATATGTACCGTTGAGTGGCAAAATATCTTAGCAGTGACGCTAACAAAGCTCCAAATTCTAATATCAAAATGATATATCAAACGCTTTGACCTCGTACGAGGTCTTAAAAATGGGTAAAGTATGTAGATCCCAGACAAACCTATGAAAGGATCAGCGATTTGAGTGAGGAACCTTGGAACTCTCGGACCATGTGTGCCTGCCCAATTAGGAAAGAACCCGATCCACAGCCACACCGCTTGCGCCACTCCTTGCAGCTCTAGCCATAATTCAGCCACGCTCGAGCCACTTGCGGCTGACATAGTGGCGGTGCGAACTATTGACTTTTGAAGGTCCATATTTTGCGTTTTGTTGGGCTTCAGCTTCTGCATACTCGTTGGGTATTATAATCCATGGTTCTGGTACGTTTCCTTTTAGGCTAATTTGATGATTAGCTCTCTCCTCTATATTGTAGTAAGTATCTCGCAGCTGCCTCACTTCCCAGCACTTGGGATCAGAGTTTATTGTACATGCGCCTGTGTCGCAATCTTCTGCCCAAGGGGTTTCAGACCACTGAAAGCAAAGGATTTTTCGCATTTTCTGGTACTTGTTTATCCTGCCGCTGCGGCGGGGCCTCGACTCAATTTACATTGAGATCGTCGGGACGATCACCTAGCACTTGAAGGATATGATAGGGTCACATGAAGAAAAATTCAAGGTTCTGATTTAGCGCCTAGAGGGGCCAATGGCAGTCTGATATCATACAGGTATAGTTCAAGCTTCTTGTGGAGTTTATCTCAGATCCTAAACCAGTTCCCTGGTGTAACACATGGAATCTCTATCAAAACCCGCGTCTCGGCCGGGGCCAGTGAGGCGGATCATCATTTTGTGCAAGAATCTATGGATATCCAACGCTAACTTGCCCAGCTGCAATATCGCCTCAATTCGACGCCCCTTCTCTATCCCCGCTAGGCAACACAGTTGTAAGATGAAAATTCTGGTAGATGTTGAAAAGAGTGAGGAATCCTCATAGCACAAAATAGGCTTTGCGTGCTGAAAGCGGGACATGTCCGTGTCTCCGAGTGGCGAAGACGATGTCCACTTGACTCCACAAACGCCACAGTTCGCCGTTGGGGTGTGGCTTGAATTTTCTGATTAAAGGGGATAGACAAAGCCAGCAATTGCGGTCTGGTGTTGTTTCTCCTTTGAACCGACTCGGGGATCATGTCCAAGTAAGTCTAGGTGGGGGCAGGCACCTCCATTACCAACCTACTACATTTATATGTACCATGGCCAAGAGGAGATACTTGCATGCTAGTGGTGCGCCACACCCAACAAGAATGGCCCAGACATGACAATTGCGACTCACCAGATCCCAGCAGCCGAATGACAAGACGCGACGCTGCGATAGGAATCAAAGGATGTTGGAATTACCCTCTGCTTGATCCGTGCACGAAACTATTCAAAGGATAGGCCCCAGGGGACCACCCCGTCGCCTTGACGTTGTGTCTCAATTCGCAACTCAGGTCCTCGTATATGAACGTCTACCATGCATGCCAAGACGTTTTCCTGTCAGATTTGTCAGGTTTCTACATGCACGAACTGGCTAAACCAGAAGCTCTACGTTCTACAGATCATGGTGGAACCCTCTGTTGTAAGGGAAACCCCGGGTCGATCTTGACACTAGCTTCAGATCTCCTGCAGTGCATCTTCGATCTCATAGATCTCATACTTGCTCCACACCTAATATTCACTAGCCACATGATATTTCACTAGGACGCGTACCCGTCGATCAGCCAAAAAAGGTAAAAAGTACTATTCAGAGTCCACATTCGCCCCACTGTTCGAATCCGTTGCCGGAACGTGCTGATGCAAGGATCCTGCAGCATGCCGAGTAGATCCTTTATTGAGCTCACAAATTGTTTCCGCGGGCATAGTGGTTCCCTTGGCCGTTCCAGGTACCTGGTCACCGACCATCGCCCAGGCTAATCACTTTTGGATGGTGGCGACATTCCCGTGGTCCCATTAAGACTTACCCAACAATTGAGGTTATGGGTCCAAAGTATGTCGGTTATTGATTCTCGGCCAGCTCCATGAGGTATATGAAGCCCTGGGTACGGCCAGGTTTATACTTGATCTGATCCTCATATTCACCCATCTCACCAATCATTCTCCCTATTGTCATTGCCTTTCTTCCATCCAAATCTTATTGAAATATACTTCACGGTTACAGTTCCACGATCTCTCCACTTCCATTACTCCTCGATCGGATTGAAGAAGATCTTCGATCTTCAAACTCAGTTCTATCAACAAGTGGTCCAACGCAACTCTATTCTGAAGCACCATACCGTCCAACAAAAACGAAATGGCCGGCCGGGAATTCACGCTGTCCTTCGAAACTACTCCTCCAACAGCCGCCCCGCCCGGTTCCCCCTTTACAATCCCAGTAGTCATTGCCGTGAACCCAATCGGGACACCCGCGCAAAATGTGCAACACCTTGTTGTGAGCGCCTCCCTCCGCAACGAAGCTGGCACAGGAGCTGCCAATGGCTTGAGCGGGAATCTCACCGCAAGCGTGCGGAGCCGAACCGATAACGCAATGAGCGGATATGCAAAACTTAGCCCGCTCACTATCTCGCAGCCGGGCAAGTTCCGTCTGCGAGTGATGCTTAGCGCAGCTTCGTACAATGGTGTTGTAACGAAGGAATATGTTGATTCGACGATCATTAATGTGCACGCCGGTGCGGCTGCCCAACGGCCAAGTGGGTCAATTCCCTTCTTGCTTCTTGCTTTGTTACGGCCCCGGTTTCCATTTCCCATCTTCTTTCCCGTCCTGTTTTGATTGCCCCTCTTCCCGCCATGACATTTTTCCTCTTGGGACCAACGTCTAGTCCCTCCTACTGGCCCCTTTCGGACTCTTGCTAATACTCCAAAACTCTAGCTCCCGCTCAGGTGGCTCGGCTTCAGCGACTCACGGCCGAGAACTTGGATATCTCCGCTGCGGATATCGCAGCATGGCAGCGAGGGTGACTGAAGGACATATAGAATTCTTCTCTTTTTCTTGGTTCGGGCAATCTCCGGCGTTATTCGTGTTCACCCTATCCCAGGTGTTTTTTCTTTTTTTTTCTAGCCACGCGGAGGAGAGTAATAGTTTTCTCTTGAACGAATGCAAATCTATCAACTAGTCTTAAGCACGCTCTATTTCAACTTTCTCGGTGTTAATTTCTCCATACATACTCTCTATCGCTTTTAGGGCCGCCTATTCCTGGGCTGGAAGAGTTTTCCTGTTATCTTAGCGCATACACTAACCCAGGCCGAATCACATGTTAATCTCTTAATCTCTTCAGAGTTTTTAATTTAGCCTAATCAGGATCATCGGGCTTTGGTAAACCCGCACTTTCACACATTCCGATTCTTCTTTGGTTCACGCTAAACAAAAAAGTGTTCTCGTTTTGAGTGAATTTACTGCGGAGTAGTAGTACTCCGATTATCATGGTTCCCCTTCAAACAACGGCTGGCATGAGACAAGCATACAGCATACTACGATGTATTAACTTCACAGAATAGGGTTTGAGACATCTCTACCCATTTTCTTTTTGTGAAGAACAAGTGAATCCACTGGGTGGAATCAAATAAACAGAATGGAGTCTGGTGGCCCAACTGTTTAGCGTAATAAACTCACGGGTTCTGCGTAGAATGGACATTACAAGCGGGGCAAATGCATCTACATATAACGTATTCCACTACCGAGTCGGCCACACCACCGAGAGTCCGCCATCCCAAAACACATAGTAAATGCGATAAATTACAACTCGATATCTTAACAACGGTAGTCTATATAGAGCTTTTCTAATAGCTTAATGCTTTTTAGGTGATACTAGCTTCTCTAAGAGTTTAGAAAACATTTATGACTTTATGATTGCCATATATCTATTTCTGGCTTTGAGCAACGTAATTTTCAATACCGTGATAATGTAGCTTTTAGATTTTCTTGAAATTAATATATAGTGTTTAAAAGTCTTATCACTAGCTATCGAATGACAATGAAATCAAATAATAACATGGTTGTTGCGATATGAGGTTATAAAATATCGCATTTACTTTCTGTTTTGGGATGGCCGACTCGGCAGTAGAATACGTTATATATATACATGTTTAGATACTTGATTCCTTAAGTAAAGAGGCCGAGTAGGGAGAGAACAAAAGAAGCCACGAGGAAAAGGCCACAGGCCCAATCGGACTAGTTATACTAGGTATCAAGTCCACACATCCGGACATTCACATGTCGTACATACTCTGTAGATACATGCTAGACAGATCGACACCCTAACCAATTGAGAAGACCCTCTACATACTACTGTCAAATGAGATCTTTTTTTGTATGGATATTTCCCCTACGCCTAGTAATGAAAAATGTGTGTAAGTGGGGTAGACGACTGTTGTCCTGATTGTCGCCTGGTTTCGAATAGATGAATGTCCGATTTACTATGGTCTGATTATTTGCAGCGCGCACTGGGGTAGGAAGCCAGATCCTTGTGCATACTCCCGATTGCCGGCTTCCCTGTTGCGACTTTACAAGTATCGGGTACTCGCTTTTATTTCGTAGGTTGCTTAGGCCAAAGTACTGAGTATGTACTTAGCTCACCTAAATACGTATATACATACGAACGACGGCAGAAGCAGGTTTGGGTCAATTTTACAGGTCATCCCTCTGACTATGGTTAGAGATGAGTTTGGAGAAAAGAAAAGTAGACACTAAAAATACCTATATTTTCGACAATTTGAGACCCATATGAAGTATCACGCCTGGCTCCCGAGGTCTTGTCGGGCCGTTGCTGTCATGGGACGATCTGCCGTCCTGTTGACCACATCAGGTTAGGAGGTCATGCCCTTATGCAACCCTACATGGCAAGACATTTCTATTTCAAAATGAGAAATTACTTAAAATCATCGATATTTGTGCAAAAGGGTGCTTTGTATGGCACTTACACAAAGGTATTCCTTATTCCTTACTCTGTGTTTCCTCATCAATCTGTGGGCAACATCTGAAACCTGAACTTACAGGTTCCTCCAGGGTTGACATGTTCACTTCTATGTCCTTCGGTCATTCTTACTCGCAGATGAGTATTTGGTCACCCGGAAAAGCCTGTGAGTAATGTATAGCTTAACACGTGCAAGCTAGCTAAGTAGACTATCCGCGGGCTTTATAAGGCTACATTCTGCTAGGCAAATATATATCCCTGTTTATCGGATCCAATTTATCTTCATCTTGCTTCAAATATAAATCATGAGTACAGGATAAATCTCGACATTATCTTGTTCCACCGAACCTAGTTACTCCCTCTTCTCTTCCTCTCCAATATGCCACATATCCGTCACCACAAAAGGCACCACACATGGCCACAGTGCGGCTCAGAAATGTTTATGCGTGAACCTCGTGGCCTGGAAATACATGTATCTCAGCTGGGTGGTGGCCCCGCAACTTATATCCCACTGTCTTTTCAACAAGCTATGGCGGCTCCCCTCAGCACAGAAGAGTTACTTTGTGATGATATGGGAATGCCAGAACTCTCCCGCCAACCAAAACGAATGCCTTGGCTCTGGTTCCAATCATCCATCAAGGGGAGAAGCGATCAGAGATCGCTGTTGGGGTCGCCCCGCCAGACGAAACAGGCTTACCGGAGTGTTCTGCGTCGGTTGACACGTCGGCCGCCATTGAACAGGACTCGCTCTTTGATCGTCGTCCCTCCAAATATGGGAGCCGGTGATCTATATACAATTTCTGGTTTGGTAGTACCCCGGAATTTGGCTAAGCAGGCTGTTTCATCGGACTTAGGCAGGGTGAAGTCGTCTGTGGCTAGAGCTGACGCAGCAGGATTCATGGCCGAAAGACGACATCGGAGGTGTCATTCTGAACAACCACGCGCATGGAGAAAACCGAGCGCTACATTGTGGACACTTCAGGAACACGAAGAATGATTGGCAGTGGTGGTATTTCTTGGACTATTTTTCGCTGGATTTGCATTGTAATTTGTGTCTTACATGTTGTTCCAGTTATCGGGCTAAGTTCTGAAGTTCTGAGAAGGGAGATTGAGCGAATTCCAAAAAGTTCGACGACGTGAAACTCAACTCATGATTCAGAATAGAGCTTTCGGCTCATTTAATAACCAGGAAATTGTTAAAATGTCCGGTTTTGTGGTGGGATCCACTGCCTAAGAGTATATCCACCTCGACGGGATACAGCCACAAGGGCTGGTTCTGGGTCTCTCGTCATGCATTCAAGAACGATAATCCGTGGTATGCATCAAAGTCTGTTCTCTTGCGGACTCACCAATACACTTTTAGATCATGGCTCATGCATTGCCATATTGCTTGGCATATAGCCAAAGTTCTAGCACTGCAACTGTAAAGTACCAGTCGGAGATACCGGAGCTGGTAGCCTCTGTTTCGGCTGATTATAAATCAACTTGTGCGGAGTGAGAGATTTATTACAAGGGTTGTTTGCATAGGCAGGATGACTCGGGGATTTGAAAGTAAGCGCGATGATATTAGGGCAAGCAAGTTGTCCATATATGGACTTTGTACATAAAAGGTGGTGGTATCTGTATCTCTTCGGTGAATATCGAGGGCGAAACGGAGCAAGAGATTCGGTGGGAAACTCAATTTCCTCCTCGTTTCTATTGATTCTTTCTCCACTGTCTCAACCTCCATGGATATAACAATTCAATAAACAATCCAATAAACAATTCAGCAGTATGGGAGTTACCTGGTCGCAGATTTTCCCGCCCCCTCCTACTCTGACCGAAGCCAATGTCTCCAGTCAGAATGGAAAAGTGTTCATCGTCACTGGAGGTTATTCAGGAGTTGGCTTCGAGATATGCAGAATTCTTTATCAAGTAGGAGGAACAGTCTATCTTGCCGGTCGGTCTGAAGAAAAGGCCTTGGATGCGATTGCGAAGATCAAAAGCTTGTGTACCCCGACATCCTCAGAGGGAAACATCATTTTTCTCGCTCTATCACTAGATGACCTAACAACCATCAAGGCCGCAGTCAAGAGATTCACTACTGCTGAATGCCGTCTGGATGTTTTATTTAACAACGCTGGTGTCTCTAACCCTCCTCGAGCGACTTCGCCCCAGGGCCACGATCTGCAATTGGCGACTAATTGTCTCGGGCCGCATCTTTTTACTCAACTTCTTTTGCCGGTGTTACGACGCACAGCTGGCGCTACACCTGTTGCAAGTGTACGGGTTATATGGACAGCATCGATTGTCGTTGATGCATTCGCGCTTGAGACCGGGATAGAGCTTGCAGAACTATTTCAAAAAGACGCGGACAAGTCACGCAATTACCTCAACACCAAGGTGGGAAACTGGTTTTTGGCGGATGCCCTCGCAAGCCAGGTTCGTGGAGATGGGATATTAAGCTTGGTACAGAACCCAGGTAATATCAAGACAAACATCATGCGCCATAGTCGGGCTTTTGTCCCTTTTCTTCTTGGGCCGTTCCTTTATGCCCCTAGGTTCGGGGCATATACTGCAATCTGGTCGGCTTTTGCTGGTGATCTAAAAATTGATGATGGGGGGAAGTACATCTTGCCTTGGGGGCGTGTACATCCGCGTCCAAGAGATGATTTGTTGCGGGCGATGAAAGGAAAAGAAGAAGGAGGCACTGGGATTGCAGCGGCATTTATACAATATTGTGACAGCCAGATTGCAGGCTTTCTATAGTTGCGTTGTGCCCCTTTGAACTTGGGAATCCTTTCGGGACATAGTGAAAGAAGAGTGTTCATTCATGATCGCCGTCAGCCCTAAGGGAATACCCAGTCAGAAAAACGCAAGATAGAGGACATGAAAGTCTTCAAAAAGAACCCTCATTGGGGATGCCCTTGGTGTCAGTATGGCAACCTAATATCGACTGGTCCAGGTTGTCTAGTCGAACGCCGCCGCCCTAGTCGCCTCGATCCTCCCATTCCAGTGATCCACGAGCGAATCCAAGTTGGCAGTGGAGGTTGCGAAACGTGTTTTGCAGTAACTGCGAGATCGTGAAGGTTATACGACATCGCTTCTCGGCTGGACTCTGTACCTCGTCCTATGAGCAGTCTATACGTGTGAGAAATGAAAATGGGTATTGAATATGTACATGCAGTGAAGAGAAGCGAGGAAGAAAAAGATACTACGAGGCTACGATAGTATGGAATGCACACTACTCGAGAAGAAGTCTTGGTTTAGTGGTGGCTAAGAGAAACCAAATGAGAGGGCGAGGTTGGAGAGAATCCATTAAATGAAAGAACTTGGACGTATAGCTCTCCTCCCTAGCAAGTGCTTGCCGAGGGCGATATTTTGTCTTCTTCACTCTGTTTTCGACATGCGTACTCTGAGAATGAATGAGTATACTTTATTGTAGGGTCAATATAGACACGAGCGACTATGGGACATGGGAAAATGGCTTCGATGTGCATTCCGTCATATCCTAGTACTCCTGTTATGTGAGCTCCATTCCAGAATCATGATGTTGAAGACATACCTCAAATCTCAGGCAGATGCCGAACCAGATTCCTTGTGTTTTTCAAGCTCCTTGATGCGTCGATGTAGGCGCCAACGCTTCGAAATCATTAGCATCATTCTAAAAACATGGCATTGGGGACCTGCATCCCATTGTAGTTCCAAAATGCAGAGCTCCGAAATGATCATGACCAACCACAGCACGACGAGATTATCCATCGTGAAGTTGTAGATGGGTGAAGGCGTGGCACGTGGAGGGGCTTGGGTTAGCTTGAATAGCTCTGCGAGGGATATGAGGTGAGAAGGCGAGGATAGCAATCAAGGATTCTGTCGATGCCGGCATACTGGAGCGGCCTAATCTAGATCAAGGACTAAACCTGTTTAGGAAATCGCCTTTCAGCGTCATCGATGTAGGAATACTGTCACTACTGGGTACTACTATCCTCGCGCAAAATAACACTTTGACCTCCGAATTTGAATTTGGGAAAGCAGTACAAGTCCTCGGTGAGCCCAACTCATCGGTCATTCTGACCGCCGACTTCCAAACACACAGACAGACAGACACGAAATGGATATACAACATGCAAGGCGACGATTCACCAAGCTTACCTCCATCTTTTGTGAGCCTCATCTAGTGCCACATAAAACACCCCCGGCACAATACTCCGAGGATCAAAGGTTAAGAAGAGACCTACTCTACCGACTTAAGAATAGCCGCTGGAAACGTTGCCATTATTACTGCCAGTGCTACCAGAAGCTGTACCCACCTCCAAAATGGCACTTTCGCCTTAGCTGGCCACTTTCTCGAGGCCCATGCTTTTATGCTGGTGAGGTCGATATTTGCCCTTGCTTCAGCATTAAATTTCCGGATTTACGTCACTTGATTGATATGGTAAAATCACAGAAGGACGGGCTACCAAGTCGCCAAGAACATCACCACTATGTGTTCCACAATCTGAGATTGACCCGCATCCGTGAGTACTTGGATCATTATTGTGCGTTCACTCAACATCCTCTTGTCAAAATTCACATCACGACGACATTTTGGATCGATAAGTCTAACCAGTCTTTACGGGTGATTACTTGCTATTCAATACGTGGATCACAAGACATTTTGTCGCAGAGCCTTGCAAATCCGAAAGCTCTGGCACACATGCGCATAGCGAACTGGCTCAGAAAGCTTTTTGATGAGGCTGGCTCGGCCTTTGCCGGTTGGCACAAAAATAGCTACTTTCTGGTATCATCAAACCGTCCTGGAATGCCCAAAGGTCACGAGCCATCTCTCCTGGAAATACTCACCACGCGGAACCTAGGAGATGGTCAATGGCCCAACAAACAGTGGAAGGCCAATGTTCATTCCTAGGATTGTGTGCTTCGGCTAGCGCTGCGTTTCAATGGGCTACTGTCGCATTGAATCGACTAGTAATTGTTTGCTGCATGATTGTTCTTTGTTGCCTTGATATTGGTATTTTTGACAAATGGCTATGTTCTAGTATTTCCTTTTTTGACCGAGAAAGAGTAGTGATATCCAACCACTTATGTTGATTTGAGGCGAAAAGTGTAGAAAGACCTCAAACCTGTAGATAAAGTCCTTTCTTCTCTCCCAAGGGACAGAATACGCACATAAACAAGAAGACATGGTCAATATTAGCTCGGAGTCTACCATGTAAGACTGTGTAGTGACCAAATATCTCTCAATGATAGCTTTTTCAAACCCGGTTGACATCACTATGACCTCCACTTGACGTATTCAGGTTGAGTGAAGCCGATTGCCCACCTTCAACTATCCTATCCTTTTACATACTAGCTTAGCTGACGCACTTGTGGAGGCCAGGTTGCTCAGGCATCCTTGTCGAGTCCCTCGGTTAGCACGGCATTCTAGAAGGACGCTAGAAGGGAATTAGACTAGTTTGATTGGCGAAGAGAGAAAATTGGAGCACCGGAATGTCTCGTCAAGGCTTCGTATTTCGTATTCTTGCGTAACACTAATGCCAACCCCGCGGAGTGACCCACTCGGGCAGAACAATCGAGTCACGATCCCGAGAGGAATTAGGTATGGAAGACTTTCTTGTATGGTTTCGAATGGTATATTTTATGCACATTCCAACCAGAAAGTTTAGATTGTCGACGTGGCATTTCAAATGTGGGATGTGGGAAGTGAGAAAACAAGCGCAGACGTGTCAGGATTGTCAAGATGCGGTGAATCTGCGGGGTCCAGGGAGCGGGAAGAGGAGGCTCCAAGGCAGAAACAATTGCTGATTGGCTGGTGGGCGGGCGATAGGGCAATTTGTCCCTTGCAACCTCCCAATCTCACCGACAACAAACAACCACACTAAACCTTACCGGTGGATCTTCCAACTTCGTTTTTTCGATTCTTATTGGTTGGAATTTGGACCGGTTCGTCGCCAACTCATGTGGTATGAAGCTGATTGGTTCTGTCTCTCCTTCGGGCGTTCCAAGGTTTCTTTGTCCATGTTTGACGACATCATCGCGACAATATTGCACTTGGTGCTGCATTTTGGTTGGTTGCCCTACAGGACCCTCCCCAAGATCCCAACTAGGAATTGACTTGGTGTCTCAAACATAAATAACCCAATCCCGCTGGCTTCTTGATTTCTGTTTCTCGTTCTCTACTTCATATTCCAAGTGATGTACACTCAGTCCAACATCCGTCCCAAGAGATCGCTCTCCCAAACATCGGCTACCTCAACCTCCTCTCACACGAGCCAGTCCTCTCAAGAGAAGAAGCACTTCAAATTGTTTAACCCTGTCTCAAAGGTCTTCCGATCCAAGACTCCTGCACCAATCGATATCCCCCAGAGCCGCCAATACACAATGTCACAGCCACGAGACATCCCGCGGAGTAATCCCAAAACTTCATACTTCCCGGACCATGGCTACACCTCAACCAGCCCGATTGAAATGTCTCCCAGCATGGGTTCGCCCCAGTCATTGAAGGCGGACTTTCCTAAGCGCGCATCTACTCCCACCCGCAAGAACAGCGGTGACTATAAGCGCTACAGTGGAACTGTCAATCACTACGGCCGCCACTCGAACGACTGGCTATTCGGTGGCTTCAGTGTTCGGGAAACTGTTCGTGATAGCCTCGATAAGCTTCGCAGCCACGACAAGGAGAGCTGAATGAATGGTCTTGCTTTGCAATCTCGAATACGTCCAACATGTGGAAGCCCTGTCGGATCTACTCTGTCTTGGTTTACCCCTTGGTTTACATCCGTCTTGATGAGGCCCATCCCGATCGTTCAGCGAGAATCAATACCTGATCCGCTATGATCTGAAAGCTGTTTTGCTTCAAGGTCCCGGAGCCGAGTGTGAACCACCGTGTCCGCTATGCGTTAGCGAATCGTCTGTAATCCGACTTGGTTTGCAGCTCGTCCTTGACCTCAGTCTGTGTGGCCACTTGGTACTTGGATTGTGCCGGTCGCTGCTTGTGCTAGTTATCTCGGGTCTCGACATTTGATTATTCCCATCGTGCCTTCAGTTGTGTTAGAGCCGACATCTCATTGTGTGCACGATGGCTTTCTCTCCCGTTATACGGCCGATTCAAACTATGAACGGAAAACTCAGCCGCGATATTTTATTGGACTTTATCAAATGGATTTATATTTATACAATGAAGTGTGGCATTTTGCAGAACAGAAGTAACCTAGTATATAAGGCTCACAGCCCCGTGCTGCCAGGACTATAGCCCCCAAAGTCCCGGGGTCGGTCCTCGCTCTATAACCCACGTAAATGGCGAGTTCTGATTAGGGCTATTCACCTAGGCACTATGCGATCCAATTTGGCTATGCTGTTATAGCGAGATTACTGTCCTGACCATTCAACACTCAAGAATCAATCCACTGAAGCCAAGAGAATATACGGGGGAAAAACGAAAGGAAAGGAAACGAGAAGAAAACTAGAATGTCATGATGCAGAGTGACATGTGTTCGTGGGGACTTGATCATTGGCCCAAAGTACGCTTATGAAGCATGACTTATAGTATTTATGGACAATTCCTTACATCAACCAGCCAAGTGGCCGAGCAGTAACTCAGCCATCGCATCTTCCTTGGTCTAGTGGTGATGATTTCCGCTTGTCATTAACACCGATAAGCGCGGGAGACCGGGGTTCGATTCCCCGA